AAGAGAGGTGATGTAAACTTTTAAATCAGATCTCAGGTGACATCTTCAAACAGGTCATACAAATAGAAGCGGTAAATTGCTAAGTCATTATTACGATTCTTTGTAAAGTAATGCTGATGCTTGTTTGAGTTTGTGGGATCAAGTGTGCCTTAGGCGTTCCTCACTTACTCCATAATCTTCTCCTCCTCGGCCTGCTTCATATGCACCTCAACTGGTCTAATGAACTGGAGTTCTGCTTTGTATGCTGGCACAGCTGAAGAAGAAATATATGAAAATAAAGAGGGATTCGCATCTTTCAAAGGATTAAAGCACATTATTGACTAACGAAATGGGCTAAAGACAAAATTTGTCTTTAACTTAACGCAAGGCCATCGCTTGAAGGATTTATGGCTTCTAAAACCTAGGACTATCACTTCTATATTTCTAATCAAGTAAAGTAGAACAAAGTTGGTTAGTTAATATTAGCGAAGAAAAGTTGGGCTTCGAGGAATCTCTTGTTATATAATTTTTGAGCTTACTTCCATTTCGAGTCAAAGTTTGAATGAGGAGATTCGAAGGTCGGTTTCACAAGAAGACAACGGCAGATTCCTCTTGACCAGCTGTCGATTGGCTTTAATGGAAGATTCACGCTGACGCTGATTTCGAGGCAATCTCCTTCGATTCCGGTGAAAAGGTGCTAAGCTTTCGTCTGTCATATGACGGACATCATTAAAGCGAGTCAAAATCGTCACAACAAAATTCAAGCTAATGAGTAAAGAAAACTCACCGGCAAATCCTTAAAAACTGGTATATGGAAGTCAGCTCAATAATAGATATTATTATTTTAAACTAATACTAGTAGAGATTTTATGAAAGCCTATGAATGGAATTTGCAGGATTTCTGACTTAACCTTCATATGTTTTCTAGGCCACACTTAGAATTCCATTCTACCTATTCCCCTAGCAGCATCGCTTTAACTTAAATGGATGGTATATATATTTCTAAAAGATGTCTTAACAAAAGGAATATGTTAATTACCTAATTATTATGTAACAGAGACTGTCTTAATTTTCAGAGTCAAAGCTTTTACTCATTTAATTAGCCCAAATGAAATCGAGGGTAAAGGTTGGAATATCATTTAAACTCAATTATAGGAAGTCAAATCACTTTAAGAGTTTATAATTGGCCTAAATCTCCGGAAATAATGTATAATTTTTATCTTTAAATTATACTATTTAAAACTACTAAATTACACTTGCGGTAAACTGTCTCGGCCAAATTTTGGTATATGATGAAATGTGCCGAAGGTTTTATGGTGAAAAATTGTTACATTACCAAAATAGATTATGAATATTATCTGACATTAGAGACCTTCAATGATAACAGTTGAGCTAGAAGTGATGGTCTTCGAGAGTCGTCTCCCTGTCGTTGGTTCAACCACATCTCCTGTAGCCACGCAGGTGTACTGACCCGAGTCGGGTTGACTGGCTTTTCGGATCACAAGTCGAGCAACTCCAGTGTCCTCGAGGAAAGTCATCTCTACACGATCCGACTGCACCAATTCTCGATCACCCAGCATCCAGGTCACCTGGATTGGTTGAATATCTGCCAGAATCTGGGCTTCTAGCCTATAAATGTCAGAGGAGTAATTGTAAGATGCCATTACTACGGATCCGGCCATTATCATAAACAAATATAAAAAATATATATCTTGTGCAAGAAAATATGAAGAAATATAAACTTTCATGAACTTACTCAAGGATCTGCACTTCTTGTTCTCTTTTCAAGTTCACTTCAACCGGCTTGATGAAGATTATATCTGCTTTGTAGGTCGGTGTAGCTGGGTAGAAAATCATTAAAATTGAATACACTTATTAGCATATTATTTCGCATAATTTTACATTTACTTTCATCTTACCCTTTTAACCAAATTATTTTTTATTTAACTATTTTACTTTTCACTGAAATCTCCCGTTATATATAATATTTGTCGGCGCTTTCATATTGACTATTTAAAATTGTAACTGATATTCTATAGGTATTTGAAATATTTGTCTATCAATCATCTGATGATAAATAAATTGACCATTTATAAATATTTTCCGATTTTTACTTGTATATTGACTCTTATGAAGAGGAGTATCTGTGAAATTTCAACTCAATATACCCTACTTTACTCCATTTA